GCGTTGGTGTGAGGTCCGAAGAAACTGAGCAATGCCATTAACGACAGAAATCTCTAGTTATCTCTTTCCTCGGAAAGATGAAGTCGACTTCCATCAACTGCGTGAATTGGGACTGTTTCTTCAATGCAGATCCGGAGGAGGATTGGAGATGGCATAAGACATTTAACTCAATCCACTTCAATGCTGTTGTCCAACTCAACAACAAAAAACGACCGGTCGACCTGCCTGGTTAACTAGGGACCCGAATAGACAGTTGCGGAAGAAAAGCAAAAGATATAGGATATTCAGGGAAACAGAGTCATCAGTGCAAATCAAAGACTTTCGTCGTCAACGAAATGCAGTCGAAAAATGTATCCGTAAGTGACGGAAGGAATATGAATCCAGAATTATCCGAGAGGCTGAACAGAAGCCTAAGATTTTTTCACTTTATTAAGAGCAGACTGAAAATGAAGGACCCGTTCGCAGTATGCAAGGACGCTAATGGTGTAGAAACTGTTGAAAACAGCGAGAAGGCCGAACACTTGTGATGGTATTTTGCCTCGGTCCTCACTAGGGAAACGAAGTTTCGTAGTCGTAGAGTCAGCAATGCTCTTGAGACCACTGGTCCCGTGCTTGACTCCATATACTACCCGAAATCTGTCGAGGAAAGGGAGTTTCGAAATCTCAAAGAAGCAAAATCCTCGAGTGCGGACAATATACTGGCCAAATTCCTGAGGTAATCGGCAAGCAACCTCGTTAAAGCACTAGCGCACATCTTCTCTTCGTCATTCGAATTAGTAGGGCTGCCATCGAATGGGAGACAGAAAATATCTTCCCGATATACAAGGGTGGGCGTTTGCACTAATGCTAACAATTACCGGCCTGTTAGCTCCACTTGCATCCGCTGTAAAATAATAGAAGTCATAGTCAATAAAGAAACGATGGAGTTCCTGGAGCAGAACTATTTGCTGTCAGCGCTGTAGCACGGCTTCAGACAAAAACTGCTCGGGCCTTTCATGGCTGCTGCTCTTAACTGAGCAGAAGGCTCGCACGCTGGACGACAATGGTAGGGTCGGTAGAAGGCGATCGACAGCGTCCGACACAAACTTCTAATCTAAAAGCTTTCTGAAATTGGATTAAGATTAATGCTTCTGACATGGATCGCAGGTTTTCTTGATGGGAGATCACAAACCATGTGTGTTCAGGCCTCGGAGTCAACTCCTATCCCTGTTCTTAGTGGCGTTCCCGAGGGCTCAGGCTAAGGGCCGCTGCCATTTCTAGTTTACATTAACGACCGCGTTGACGACTTAGGATGCAAGGTCATCATGTTTGCTGAAGATGTCAAGCTGTGGAGAGCTATCAGATCTGGCGCAGACAGGTACGTGCCTCAAGAGTGTCTCAACCGGCTCAGAAGTTGGTCATCTCGTTGCCTCCTCAGTTTGAATGGTGACCTGAATGTGTGGTCCTGAGACTCTGCACACAAAAGACCATTAAGGAGAGTGATTTCTTTCAATATGTCCTTGACGGGCAGCCCCATTCAAATGTTAAGGGACAGAAAGACCTTTGCGTCCTAATGACCTCCGCATTGAAACCACCGTCACAGTGTCAAAGTGCAGCTAAACGCGCGATACGGCTGTTATTTGCCCTGAGGGAAGGATTTGTGCTAATCGAAAAGGAGCAGTTCAGGAAAACCTACGCGACATCCGTTTGGTCTCAATTAGACTATGCAGTGCAGGCCCGGCGACCGTGGTTGAAGAATGATTACCCACAACTGGAAAGAATGCAGGCCATGGATACGAAGCCGGTGAAGAATCTTACTCATCAATTTCGTCCTCTTCTAGCAGCACTCCTTGAGGGAAAATAGACAACACATACGCCTCAGCAATGTGAAAAGCTCGTGGATCTCATCCACCTCGTTGCTAGTGAGATCGAAGACAAGAAAAAGCGAAGTTTAAATTTATTTTGAAAAAATTTACTAGAGGAAGCTAGCCTACAGATGTCACCTCCCATTTCTCTTACTCTTGTGGCTTCAGCTTTAAGGTCGTTGAATCTAAAAGACTTTCATTTGCGAGCAAACATCCATCAATTCTTTTCAAATTATTTTCGTTGATAGAAGTAGACTTTATTTTCTCCCATCTAGGGTGTTCAACTCAATATCTAGAGTGAATAAGCATTTTATTAGTCGGGATGGAATTCCACTGCAACACAGAGTTTCCCCCTCAGTGGCAAACGTACAGCCACTCTATAATTCTACTCATCTGTCATTTATTGCTGAAGCAGATTCCCCATCGGGCGTCAACCGAATGCTCCCCATATCTGCGCCGGCCCTAGTTCCATCTATCTCTTCACCTGAGTCAGTTGAAACCTGTCACTTTGAAACATCTCCAATAAGCGATGATTGCTCAAATGCTGCTCCAAATTTTACCAAGAAGCTTGACTTTAACAGTACAGATTACCTAATCCCAGAAGCACAATTCAACGGAAGGACTCGGAATAATAAATTAGTTAATATTCCTAGGTCGAAGCTTTCACGTTCCCGTGCCAAGCCGCGCAAGTCCGACCTACTGGTAAGATCAAATAAGCCAGATAATAGCCCAGGGCGATCTTCACCAAATCCTTTCCTGAATTCCCAACTGAAAGAAGACAACACAGTTGTGGTGCCCACTAACACACCAGCCTGTACTATGCAGGTACACAATGTTGCTGATGGATTTCCAAATTCCACAGCTAGACTGACGCCGCAAATAATAAAGCCTTCTCATGATACTAACAGTTTCTAGAATCCAGCTAGTTCCTTTTCTAACATAAATGCTCAATATTATCAAAATCCGTTTTTTATGCCTCCTATCTTTCCAGATCCACGAAATAGCCTTCTACTTCATGGGTCCTGTCCAAATGTGTCCCCATACAATGCTGCCTCTATAGTTAGGCGTAAAATGCCCACAGATTTCAGACCACAGTAACTTTGTTTTCCATCCTTTACTTCTTCCCTACAGTTTAATTTTCCTCCTCCTTTTTTATACCTACATCTTAGGATTACGCTCAGTACAGTTTCTCTCAAGGCAAGATCAGCGGCGCAGCAAAAGATAGCAAAATATTGCCACAATCTTTGAAAAAAATGTTGCCAAGAAAATAACTGACTTTAGTATAACCAATCACATTATTAGCCCTTCCTAACATGGCGTCCTATCCGATCGCTCTTGTGAAACGCGTCATTTGTCGTTTATCAATCTTCTTACCTCTTATCGTTATGATCATTTATGTGTTTTCGTTATTTATTTTGATTTTAATTAAGCCTTTGGTAAAGTGACACACAGAGCATTCCTAGTTAAATCAGAAGCTCTGGGATATTGCAATCACTTCATTGACTTTATCAAATCATACCTATGTAATCGTAAGCAGAAGGTCCTGGTGAGATCTTCATTTTCCAAGTGGTGTCATACAAGATACCGTTTTAGGTCCTTTTTGTTTCTGCTTTGCATTAATAATATCTTGTCGGCAGTTAAATATTCTCAATCCTTTATTTATGCTGATGATCTCAAATGTGTATATTCATTATATAGATCTACGTGTCTTTACTGCCTAGAGCAAATCCATGCTGACTTACTTCCTTTTGCAGCATGGAGTTCAAAATGCCTAATGGAATTCTCTCCGTGTAATTGTAGTTAGATGTATTTTGGACCTGATAGATTACCCTAACCAGTGGTCTTTTAAGGCTCACCTATGACTTAATGTACCACCATCCAGGATTAAAGGTACGCAAAGCAGACAAGGACAGAATCCTTAAATACGATCGATATGTGCTTCAGGAAATATGAGTAATTGCTCAAGAAAGGAGGGAAAAGTTGTGCTGAAGGAGAAATGATGAAAATTCTTCTGTTGCAACTAGGACGAATGGAACACGAGAAGTATGTAAAATTTGTCCTACCTAAAAAACCGACCGAAATCGAATTTACGGAGACGGTGAGAATCCTGAAAATCTTGTTTGTCTATTGAAAGTCCTTGTTTGACAGACTTTTTGAATGTGTTAAAGTGGAAAAGAGGGTAGATAAAGATTATTTTATCTGTTAGGCAGACTAAGTGACATATACCAACAATCTGATCTAGAACAAGTAAGGGCTAACCAGGTTAAGACCCTGTTACTCTACCGGAGGACGCGGTCATACGCAGGTGGCTGCTGCCTTAAATGAATCAAGATGGTGTTATGACCGTGCAAAAGTAAGTAGATAAATGTTTTAAACTCAGAAATATTAAACAGGATAAAAAGTTGATTGGCAAAACAAACAGTCAACAGGTACATGTGTTTGAGATCAGGAAAAATTGGCCGCCACAGAGGGAAACATTTCCTGGAGGGCTAAAGGCCGTCTGTTGGTAGTGCGGTGGATGGCACTATGCCGCTGACTGCCCCTAGAAAATGCAGAATTGTTTTAAATGTTCGGGTATGCGCCACAAATCGGCCTGCTGCAAAGTGGTAGGACCGAGCCTTAGGTAACAGTCCAACAAAGTTTCTGATAGTGAGACGCGGGTGCTAGGCTGTGCACACCGAGATTACGTATCTGTGATCATAACTGAGAAAGCCGTCGGGCCTCAGGTGGTCAAGACGTCTGATCTGACGATTATCACGGTAGGAACGTGGCAGATGATAGGAACACCTAGTCATACCCCAACTCATATCACGGAATGTTGAGCTCAAGGGCGGAAGCCTCATTCCCTTAATAAACTAAATGATCTCTTGCCGGCACTGTGGCGCATGCTATTTGCAGGGAATTGCCCCTTCTGTCAGCAGCGCTGTCAAAGCTGTAACCGACTACGCCTCCGAGATGGGTTCTACAAATTAATAGCAATATATGAAAACAAGCTCACCTACACCAGTTCTAATACCAAGCGCCATTTTTTGGTTAAAACGCAAATCGTAACCATGGCTTGTTGGAAATTCCCTCAGTCTCTTGCCCAGTTCCCAGCTCAGTGTGGCCAGCTGTAGAAAGATTGTTGATGTTCTGGTCAATGGTTAGGCAGTCCGACTACAGTTGGACACTGCCCCAGACATCATCATCATCATCATCATCATCATCATCATCATCCTCATCATCATCATCATCATCATCATCATCATCATCATCATCATCATCATCATCATCATCATCATCATCATCATCATCATCATCATCATCATCATCATCATCATCATCATCATCATCATCATCATCATCATAATCTCTGTGAGACACTGAAAATCCTTTGGCAACCCCACGGTACAGCAGACTTCCCAGTCCGCCACAAGCGCGTGCGGTGGTCTAGCCCATCTAATGCTGTGTCTCGTTTCGCGGTACCAGCATCACCGCGATCTGCTACGTAACCAAGTCTGACCCGAACCTACTTTGTCTTGACTGGATTGAACAACTTTGTTTGGCCAATATGTCACTTTGCGTTGTTTGCAATCTGCTGCAGATTCCCGCAGTGCCAGGGACATCCTTTAAAAGTTTGTTTCAGTGTTTAGGGACGGCCTGTATCGTTGAACATATATTCCAGGCGTGCTGCATCTGATACCTGGAAGCAAACCAGTCTTTCATCCAAATCAACTGGTCCCATATGCAGCTTTACCAACTCTCGAGGCTGCACTGAAGTATTTGGCGAAAGTGGGACTTGTACCTTCTGTATATTATTCCACATGATCAGCTAATAAAGCGGCTTCCTGGTATCACTGCGTGAATTTCGCCCCCCCTCAACAGTTTGCTGCAAAAGGATGCTCCCTTGTGCTGGTCTTCCGACTGCGAAAATGCCTTCGTCCAGCTAAAGCCGATACTGAGTACAGATCTGCTGCTCATGCACTAACACACGACACTGCCGACCGTTGTTGCTGCAGATGTTTCCACCCACGGAGTTGGTGCCGTCATCTCGCATACTTTTCCTGACGTGTCTGAAAAGATGCTCATGCATGCATCTCGCAAACTAACTCATTCGGAGAAGAATTGGAGGCAAACAGAACAGGAGGCACTAACCCTTGTGTTTGCCGTCAATAGACTTCGACAAGTTGCTGAACGGTCGTTGCTTCATGTTGTCTACAGATCATAAACCGTTGCTGTCAGTTCTGGGTACGAAGAAGGGCATTTCCGTCTATTCAGACAGCCGAATTTTGCCATGGACAACCTTTCTTCTTGGTTACCACTTCGACATTCGTTACTGCTTCACTGCCGACTTTGGTCAGGCGGGCGCCCTTTCTCCTCTCATCTGAAATCACTGCCGCGGACATCCGACGTACTACTGAACAGGATCTCGTCCGCCACCGGCCATCACCTGCGTGCAGACCTGCTGGTCAAGCATTGTATATGTATATGTATATATTGAAGGGTTACAGGCAGAGCGCTTGATGACCCTATTTATGTACAGTGCTTTCGCAGATTCATACTCAAAAATAAAATTGCAGGAATTTAAAATGTGATTGGGTCACAATTTAATCGTACTTATAAGGTAGTGTGTAGGGTCACTGTAAATTAGTGCGGAAGATTGTATATGACAGATTTTACAAAACTGGCTGCGCATAGTCATGCTGTTCAAGCCGATTTCTGTCGAAAACTAGACGAGCAAGTTTTCTTTTAAACACACAAACTGTGTCAGGCGTCACCATCTCGCTTGGAAGCTAGTTCCACGGCCTGACAACCCGTTGGCTGAATGAAAACTTTCGTCGGTCTAAACGCATACGCTCATTCCCGACTTTGTATGCATGGCCGCGTAGTTGGTTTGTACGGGCGAACTCAATGAAGTCCTCTGCTCTTAATGAGCAACCCTGGCCGCGAACAATCCGGAACGTCCACAGTAGACTGCAGTTTCTTTGTCTATAAGAGAGAGGGTATAGGCCAAGCAAATTCAGCCTCTCCTGATAAGACAAATGCTTTAGACCGCTGGAGCTCTTTACCAACTGTTCCTGTGCCGAGCATCGCTGTCAGAGGTCGATACCCGCTTCATGATTGCGGGCCGTGTGGTTAATCCATCTTCCCTTTGACCTTCTCTACTACACCAATTTCATGCGGCACATCCTGATACAAGTCTGGTTTTGCATACTGGCAGGCTGCCGACAGCGATATCGACGATCTAGTTCGTCACTTTACCCGAAGCCAACAAGCAACAAGGATTCCGACTCGTCAACCAATAATGACCTGGCAACCATTGTAGAGGCCTTAGTTACCTGTGCATATCGATTTGCTGGCCTACTTAACGGAGCCTGCTACCTAATCTTGGTTAACTCCCACTCGAAGCGGCCAGAGATTGCTCCGCTGAATCCAACGACCGCATCTACCACTATCTCCTTCCTACGACGCATCATTGGCAAGCACGGCCTACCGGCAGTCCTTATTTCGCATAGTGGTTCCCAGGTTACATCACCGACAATTGAGGATTTTTGCGGCCAACACAGCATCAGCATCTTCGCTCCCCGTCCTACCACTTTTAGGCTAACGGTCAGGCGGAGCCTTTTGTCGACCCGTTTAAGAGTGCCCTCTTGAAAGACCGTGGGGGGGGGAGTGGAGGGAGCCACGGACTAGATAGGACAGGCCTCCCTGTTTTCCTACAGGGCAACACCGAACCCGGCGTCGCCTGTAGGCCTTTCTCCTGCCGAATCTTTGGTAGGCCGAAAACTGCGAAAAACGTTTCATGCACTTGTTCATACGCCAATTTCATGCCGCACATATGAAATCGCAGTTTTGTTTACTGGCAGGGTATCCACAGCGACATGGATAACTAAGACGCCGAACGAAGTGCGCACACCGATCAACACTGCCGATGTAGGTCAATCAACGCCAAAAGCGGTACTGAACGACTTGGGATGGAGGGAGGTGTTGAGAGCGCATACGCTCCCAAAAATCTGAGGCAGTCAATCACCGGAGGCCAAGTGCACCTTCTCTAGCACATTGTCTCCAAGCCTGGACAGCATATTCAAGATGCGGCCTTTTAAAAGTGCCAAAGACTTTGGGGTCGGATATGGGTTGGTAGGCACACCTGCGAAAAATATTCCCCAATAACCTGTTTTACGGAACGGTTGGTAAAAGGGGTTTTACCAATGAGGCCTTAGAACGGGCGGGTTGAATTGTGAAAGCAAGAAAAAAATAAAACAACGAACGGGGAGCAGCAAGACGAACTTCAAATAAATGCAAACAATCTCGGGAAGCGGAAAAACTGACAGTGGAAAGCGAAAAATTTGAGGATTTCCATGGGTAGTTGAGCATAGGCCGAAATACGACCCGTAGTTAACAGCCAATCAAAAGTGGGCGCAGCTTGTCAAGGTCAGTTCGCGAATTGTGCATTAAGACAATTCCCAAAACGATGACGCTTACCGCTGAAGGATGCAAATAGGGTACTAAGCAGGCCAAAACTCCACGGAAACGGTAAGTCCGAGGCGCCTGTCTACGTCCTACCAATCTGTGCAACTGTATGTAACGCAGGGAAATAAAGTGCAAAGTTTTAGGATGTTTAAGGCGGCAAAAGACGCAGGTGACTTGGTTTTAAGCACAGTTCGTGCCGGTAGGTAGACGCCTTAACGGTTGTCTCACATAGTTAATGGCCTTTACTGTTGTTTGTCTTATTTACCATAATGTAGCAAGGTTCCTCGTAAAGCACAACCGCAGACTCCCAAATGCACAAAGTACACTGCAATCCAAGCTGCCATGAGTAGTTCAGATCTCGTGTATTGTTTCCAAGGGGAAGGATTGCTGGCGACGAAAGTGAAATGCCGTTGTAAGAAGACAATGACGATGCGCATACTTCGACAACATACGGATGAGTATGACTTTAGGTAAGCTGTTATATCCTGATTAGCCTATTTCCAAGGTACAGCCGCTGCAGAACGAAAAAGCGACTCGAACAGGCTCCGTCTTTGAACGACGCCACCTACCGTTATCGAGTGTAATGAAGATTTGCCTTGCCTTCCTGGAGAACATCGGGGTAGTTAGGTACGAGACTTTTTCGGCATTAACCACAGTTCGGCAGTGGAATGGTACGGTATTTGGCGGTAAGTCTGCACTAAGACGCTCCTGAGGGACGTCAAGCAGCTGGGTGGACCCCCAGACGAAGTTAAAATTGACGAGACTAGGATTACACGCAGGAAGTAAAACGTTGGCCAGTTAAGGCAGCAGAAGTGGATACTGGGAATGTACGATACGGTGCGAAGGAAGGCCGTGTTAGAGCAGGTCAACGATCGAACCTGGCTATCTCTGAAAGCCGTGATTACCAGGGGGTTGCACCGGGTAGTATTATTGTAATTGACCAGTGAAAGGCTTAGCACACAAAGAAACGGACAAACTACGAAATATTCAGCAGCAGCGAAAAGAGATTGCCGTTAATTGCAGCCGAATTGTCACACACAATTGTCAGCACCAATTGATCGGCTGTTAAGCACATAAGTGTTTGAGCAGGCAGAGAATAGCATTTCACCCAGAGGTCTTTTAATGACATACTGTGGGGTTGTTGAAATGGACTTTGGTCGAGAATCTGACGAAAAATAATCATTCGTTTTGACCTTCTAATTCGTATAACAACGCCAGAAATCCGGGCTGTTTTTTGACAGAAAATGATATTTGGCTGACCCAATACCCCAGTGGGATTCAAACCCACGGGGAGCAAGAGATGGGTTTTAGTGCAACCCAGCGTTTAAACCGCCCGATTTACAAAGTCCCGATCGAGATCTGTGAGCTTAATCAATTTGTCTCACGGTAACTGTCCATCCTTCAGTCACGTTGGCCCTCCACCAATTTTGAATCAGCTACCTGACTGCCCAAGATAAGTATTATAAACTGTCTACTTCAAATTCGTCAGATGGATATCACGCTTACGGGATTATAGGTCTACCTTGACATATGTGTGCAATTAACCTTGCCCAATTTTTATTCAAACTTTGCCGGTTCTCATACCCACCCTTCCCAAAGAGGACTGGGCAATTATTTAAATCTCTAGAAAATAAAATTTCGACCATCGTGGCTGACAATGCCCACCATGTGTTCCACACCAGGGTGAGAGCGGGCACGGCGTAGGTTCTTTTGTAGTGGCGGTGGATTTTCGCAGCATCTACTGCGCCCTCTCCCCCCACGTAAATCTGACGTCAAGATATATTCAAGACGGCCGGAGGCGGAAGAGAGCGCAGGTGACTGGCACGGCTGGAGCCACGCCTAGGCGTACAACCACACCCCGCGGTCGACAACAAACATTAAACAGGGATTTTAGCGAAAAATCACTATGGAGGGCGGTTTCGATCAGAGATGATGCGACCTGCGCAGTAAATGGTTCTGCCACTGACAACCTACATATTGACGTGGGTGTGAATATCCGAAAACGCCTGCTAAAATTGGATGTGACTACCGTGGTGGTCAGGCGTGCCTTCACCGTGGACCGTTTCTGGTGGAAATTATCTAGTAAGTCACCAGAAAATTGCTCTATTTCCAGGCTACTTTGTTTGATTTGGTAACAACTAAAATGTAAACAAGAGTGAATTTAAGTCTGCCTTGTCTGACGAATTTCTCATCCAATTCTCGACATACATACGGACCATAGATATTCTTCCAGGAGGTTAATTATGTTTTCGTAAATCAAACGTAAACCAGGAAAATAATGCCCTTAGAGTTTCAGTTGAATAACACATGTCAATAAACATAGAACGAATTCCACAGACCCACCATCACATTTAGTATATCTTCCTCGATATTTTAGAGTGAATATCCGACAATCTCACGAAGCAACCACTGCCATACGAGCCTATATGTCAACCGTTTTGTTAGTATGCACAAACCCTGACATGAAATCCACTGTGGGTGTGTAATGACTGGCTATATTAGAGCCTGAGAATGCGAGATTAACTGAGGAGAATGCCTATTCAACAATCGTCCAATGTGTACAACGTGAAATATTAATTCCTACTGTTCATGAAATTACCTTTTGTTTTGAAGGAAAATAGGTCTGCGCATGACATACCTAGTGGGAAAAAAACAACGTACGGACTGTTGTTTTTCAAGATATAACTGTACCGCAGGCACATCTGGCGTAAGTGCACCAGACACTGACGTTCCTAATGCCACGGAGAAAGGATTCGAATTGTTATGTGACGGAAATCATGTGTGTTGAGTCATCCCACTCATTTTTCTATGGGAATGTTTTGATACGATTTGTCCACCACTTTTATAAAACCGATAAACGTACAAAAGTCGCAATGATGTAATCTGAAAACACGCAACATCGTTCTGCAATTAAAAAAATCAAAGAAAACCATCTGCTTACACACTTGGTCTTTGGTACAATGAGTATCCTTTGATGCATAGGGTTTTAACTGCAGACATAAGAGTAACACAATGAAACTCTGTTTGATGTTCTTGAAGATCTGAACCCAGCCGAAGGTACGATTATTAACTTGCTATAAATAAGGCAAATTGCTGAACAGGTCTTGTTCACAAACTTCCTGCACTACGGCCAAATATTTAGAACTGCCCTAACTGCGATGCATTATAGCAAGGTTTGGTGAAATGTGTTAAGAGGTGTGCACAATTGTTTAAAATTGGACCAGAGTGTCGTTTTGCTTCCAGAAAATTACTTTCTACAACTACGTTATGCGTTCGTCAATAAGACAAAAGTAAAGATCCGATCACCAGTCGCTGGCGTACTGTTCCAAATAAAGAGATATAATGACTTACGTACCGATCCATACTCAAACTATTTTACTGAATGGACATCTAATCATGGGTTCGTCTATGTTGACGGAAAACAAAAGTACTAGGAATTAGCTCCCCGTAGTGTTTGAAAAACGATCTTAAAATTTAAAAAATATGTTGGGATTATTTATGTCAAAACGTGCCATGCATTGTAAAGACTACACTGGCTGCTCGCTTGTCTTTGCTTGTGTCAATACGAAGGTACTCTGTCTTTTTTATCCTCAGACACCTATCATCTCGCATTCGAACGTTCTACTTGGTCACCCTTCTGTGCATAGGGCCTATGGTTGCAATAGTAGCACCACGTCATGGAGTACAAGCCCAACTTCTGAAATGTGCCCTCGATCAGAAAATATTGCATAGGTAGTATTGTAACCCTAAATAATATGCTTCAAAATTGCAGGATAGTTCACTCTCTTCGGCACGTCAGACTTCGTGAGAGCTTTTTTCTATTCGTCAACAAAAACCGCCTGCCCAAAGTGCCCGCATAAGCTATATGACGTTTTCAAGGTTTTTTTCAGCGCCCTACCAAACTCAAATGCATTTTATACTGAACGAGCAAAATATAGTCATTCTTCAACTCATTTGGTAATTAGCTTGCTCTTTATATCATTTATTATTGCAGAAATGACATCGTCTTATTTCGTTCTGCACTATTGCTTCCATTTAGGTTTTAAACACTGCAGGCAGTGTACAGCTGTTGTTAGTAAAAATGGTTGCTTTTATGGGTTGTTAAGAAGAAAAAATATAGGGCTTATATACTTTGTAGTGGTGGATGTGAGCATTGATGTGCGTTTTATGAGCGGTTTTAATGAATTCTTAAAAGATGCACATACTGCGGTCTTAAAACACCTCGCGATAAAGTTTTTTCTCATAATAAATTCTTATTTCTTCAAGAATAAACTCCGAAGCCACCTCTTACGAGTAAATGATTAAGTATTTTGCGCATGCTTTTCAGAAAATTCTATTTGAATTAAAAACGGCAATTTTAACCGAGTGGCTAAATAAAAAACTGCATGAATTCACGCTTTTTATTTAGTGCGCATCATGCAGGCTGACGTAAAGGAATTAGTTCTAGAATCGGCATACCGAAGTGACTTAGATATAATGAGATTCATTTAACCGATCCTGAATATTGCGCCCTATCTTTGTTAAAATAATCACGATATGTCCTTTACCGTATTGCTTCGAAATATCGATGACTTCTGAATTCCATTGCATACTGCATAAAGCGAATTTGCAACACGTAAACCGATGTGCTTAAAAATCTGCACTGCGGCTCAATCTAGAATACATCAAGGTCTAATTGACAGAGTTTTTGCTAAGAAGATGCCGAGTGCTGTTTGAAGCTACTTTCCTAGAATACATGAAATACCAAGGTGTTTTAAGTACACCTATGAGCATCGCATAGCATATTAACCTGTTTTCGTATTACTATGTGGTCTAAGCATAGAGAATGACTGCAGTAAAATTGAAAACGTGGGCCAAAAGTGACAGACATTTCTCTATTAACGCAACCAATATTCCATAATGCAAGTTCAAATTTCAAAAGTTGGATAAAGAGTGTCCTTAATGAGCAAACAATTGAGGCATTACTTTCTCCCTAAAAGAAAAATAAAATACTGAGCTATATGTTTCATTCATAATTTAAATGATGTACTTTTGTAGAACTAATTTAGAGTGATCTTTTTAACATTCCGATAAACGTGTTCTTATGTCTGGTACAAAGGAAATTATCTGTTCCCGAGGAAAATACCAGATATAATTACTTTTTTCGAACGTCTTAAGATAACAGATCTACGCATCACTGTGTGAGTAGCTTCTGCCTTACGGCACTGCTCGTCCCATTCGACAAACGCAGTAGGGCAGAGTTAACTACTTAGCCTTTACAGAACTGCAGAATTCGGTTGCCCGGTAAACGTCCACGTTCGAACGCTTGTATCGGGCTTGCGTATTCCACAGCCTTTATGCATCAAAAATCCCTTGTTGTCACTGGCCCGCAATATCGGGCTTACGCCTGTTGGTTGTTTTTTGAAGACAATCGAACTTTTAGCAATTCTGCCATATATCGTGCGCACTGCGACAGTCCAAGTTATGGTTCCCTAATTGCTTAATGGAAATGTTTCAGGTGAACAAGTGAGTGGGTCAGATGGTCGTTGGTAGCCCTCCCGGTACCGAAAACTCCCAGCTACCTGTCTTACGGGACAGGTGGTAATAGGGGCAATGTGGGTGGGGCAGATAAGTGGAGGCGTAAATGGCGCTTGTGGGGTATGCCTGGAAGTGACGTTCCTGGCAAAGTGGAGGCCTGAATTAAATAAGGTGAAATATGCAAGGAGGGTATAGAAATAAGCATGGATAATTATTACGCTATGCGGAATAAATGCATCCTTGCCCCAGTTTGGAAAGAATAGTAAGTGAAGGCGAACAACCAATAGAAGGCAGTGTGTCTTAAGGTCATTCTGCAGTATGTGCGATAGTGCTCTAACCGACAGAATGGACATGTGAACACTAGAGTCAAGCAGCGGCACGCAGGACGGCATAACGCAAGCGGGATAAGACTTTAATGCGGAAAATATTTTTGGGCGGAAGAGAAAATCTGCAAATAATAGTGTATTATCACTGTGGCCGCATCTAGGATTAAAACTATGGCAGTAGTTGTTTGCTATACGTGAATGGTTTACTATATAATGTAAAGAGGAATTAGCACTCTGTATATTAAATTACACTTTGTTCTGCTTGCAGAGCCCAGTCTCTTAGAAGGCGAAGGAAAGCAGGACCGCAAGTGGATAGGCCGACAGATCATTTGCGGATCCTGGAAATAATCCAGTCGTCCTACCTAATGCAGTATCTCCATCAGAAAGGACTACTGACCTGTAGGGTCTTATATAGATGTCGAAAGATCATGCCCTTACAAATACTGCGACAGCACACGGATGGTTATGCCTTCAGGTAACATCTGGGAACTGTCGTATGCAGCCTAGAATAGTACCTCTAAAATGAATCAGATACAGTTAACACAGTGCGCGCATGCAATTAGAAGCATAATGAGAAGCATGATGGATCATAATCCGCCTAGGATAAATCTTTTGCCCTTTACTAAAGATTTCCGTGTAGGAATGCAATACAATGAGTCTATATAGACATTTTTGCGTCGCCTTGTTCTCAGGGCGGTTAAAGTGAAGAAGAAAGTCATCCTGACAGGGCTTCTGCGCGTGCACTCCCAGACATAATGAGAACGTAATCACAGAGCTTGAAATCGAGCCAGTAAGTACAATTGTAGAATCAGTGGGCAGGGCTACCAACTACCATCCTACCAGTGAGTGCTTCATTGAGGCAACAGATTGGAATTTAGGATTGTCGACCGTCCGTATTTATATGGCAAGGGCAGTTTTGAGCCAGAAGGTAAAAAATGGCTAAGACGTCGACGAGGATGGCAAACCGATTAAGCTATGCGAAGAGACAGCATTCAGTTAAGCCTGTTGCCATGGCACTTTATCATCACCTCAGAAATAAAGTCGCATTACCCTTATTCCCGAACTAAGATAAGTGGACACTAAAAATGTTTTGTATGATCTGTCTAAGCTAAAATAATAATTTATTTGTAAACTAATATGAAATGAGTCTTCCTTCAAGATCTTGCCCTGTTCACAATTTTCATTTTGACATGGATAAGTCTTCTGCTGGCCATGAAAACTAACATCAGACATGTATCGCATATGCAGTCGCAGTAGCGAAGCGGGCGGGTCTGCCTATATCATGCGCCGCTGCGCAACTGCTGGTTGGGCTCGAGAGAGAGCCCTTCAGGCAAAACGGAACGAGTGAGATCCGTAAGAATGGTCGGTAAGCCCCCTCTACAAAGGTATTGTTTCAGAATTTTAAAAAATCCTTGTGAGATTATAAGACTTCGATAACATGGCAAAAATTTAAGGGGTATTCTTGTTCACATGCAAGGGCCGTTTTCACCTAGGGGTACATGCAACCTGCGCACAAAAACGAAAACAACAATAACAAAATGCATATTGCTAAAATTTACTAGCATACACTTACAAACAGCATGTAATTTGTCACATACTGTGTGGATTTTTGAATGGCTGCAGTTGAAACAAGCTCGGTGTATCACTAAATTCCATCAAACCTTTTTTGTCAAATGAGTACCGATGTTTGATTTTGGAAATGCACAGAACACGTTGAGTAGATACTGTGAATTCCAATTCCTATTTCGATATCTGTTTGCTGTCACAGACGAATTCAGTAGACAGATGCCAAATTTTCAACCAAAGCAGATCCCGTTCTGTGCAGATTGCATTTGGGTGCAAATTTTCCCTTCAAAGATACGGTACATCAAGCCGATGACGATAACCGATTTGCATCAGTCATGAATATGGGACGAAACTGCGCCAGAATGCACTGTCCCCTATCACCCACGCTTCTTATTCCTCCATCTGTCTTACAGGGGATTTCCTCGGGACTGTATGCGCATTCATGCAGCATTTTACTGGTGGCTCTATAGCGGTCTAATGTAGGAAAAAAAAGCTTACGTGAAGGACTGTTCAATGGTAAGCCATTAACAAACGAACTTGCAAATTAGTCTAGGTGACGTTGCTTTAGGCGATGTGTATATCATTTATTTTCTGCAAAAAAACAAATTCGGCGGCTTTACAAGGTCAGCGCTAATAGAAACGGCTGCGTTACAGGTGATAAAAATCATATTGGAGTGAAAAAGCGACCGAACTTCAGGATGTCTGATGCCGAGGAAACAGTGCGCAGCCTGAATTTCAACAAAAGCCCAAATCAAGGGTAACGGTTACCGCCGAGCCAAGTAGGAAATAAAAATCAGAGCGCCGTGTTCGATGATGTTTCTTTGCGCAATAATTAAACCTGAAAACGGGTTGCCAAAATATGCTCCATATTTAAATAATACTACTATTTGTATTGGGAACGTCAATTTCCATACCAACAAAGCAGATACCAGAACAATATTTTAGGCTGTTTAA